TGAGACTGAGACCCTGGCACACATCTATGTGAAGTGCGTCAGGCTGCAGACCCTCTTCCGACTCCTCTAGAACCTCTTGCTGAGGTCCTGGCTGCACTTTCCCCCATACCTCTTGATCTATGCACAGCCCATCTGTGGCCCCACAAAGTTACAGGACCTCCTTGTCAACCTTTTCCAAGATGGCCATCCACGATACCAGGAGGAGGAAGCTGGATTGGGGGTGGGGGTAGGATGCTCTGTGACTGTAGGGCCTACTTCTGGTCCCCAGGGCCGGCCTTAGTGAAAATGGTGCCCAGGCCAAACTTATATTCTGCTCCCCCCACCCCCATCACCCCAGCTCCTATGGGCTCTTGGGTTCCCTGGGCTCCCCTCCCCTCATCACCTCCGGGTCATTACCTATACTTCATATGGAATGTCCACAGGAAAGTCCATTCAATGTAGATGGGCGTCTCCCATGGTCTATTGTGAGTTAAGTGTCCCTTGATGAGCCACTTATTTTGACTAGTCTCTTCAAGATGTGCTGGATAACTACCTTGTGGGCTTTACCCCAGGAGCAAACATTTGAAATACAGGTATAGAGCCAATACTCCTAACTTCAAATACAAAAATGATACATGCATACAAAGAGAATAAACATATTCAGCAAATCATAACCTTTTCATAGACATCTTACATGCTACATTTTGTACAAGATTTGTTGCAAATATATAACAGTGATTGCAGCAATGATCTACGTGGTCATGTTTTAATCAGATAATGTCACAATGAGTAACTGCTACATATAGCAAATTCCTAGGCCAGTGTCAGCAGAAGCCCAGAAGTAAGGGTGGCATGGTATATGGTGTATTGCCATATTCTATGCTGCTGCAGTGACTTGTGGTGCCTGGCACTTGGCCTGTGGCTCAAGGCAGGCTTCACGCTCTCACATGGGGGCTGCATCTTGCCAGAGCCCACGGCCCTCCTGCAGCCGTTAGCCACTCCTGGCTCACCACGAGCATTCTGACAGGAAGTACCAAGCAGTAATAACAACAATAATAATAATAATACAAGAGTGTGTGTGTGTATGTGTGTGAGAGAGACAGAGAGAGAGCCTGTGTGTGTGTGTGTGACTGCGTGTTGGGGAATTGTGTGACAGAGTGTGTGTTGGGGAGTGTGAAACTGTGTGTGTGTGTGTGTTAGGGAAGTTTGAGAGACAGTGAGCGCACTGTCACTTTAAGTCCCGCCCTCCTGGCCCCCCCACTCGGCCCGGCTTCCCCTCCGTCACTCACATGGACGTTTTGCTCCTCCTGGCCCTGGCCCGGCCGGCCCCCGCCAGAGACCAAACGGCGCAGGGCCGCAGGCAGGGAGGGACTCAGCTCCGCTCCAGGCAGCGAGTGGTGGGTAGCACCTCAGGTGACTGGCCCCGGCTGTGCCGCTCTGGGCTCCCTGGGGCTGGGGCAGAGCTGGAGCCCTCAGCCGGCCGGGTTAGGAGCGAGGGAGGGAGGGGCCAGGGGGTTGGGGTCAGGGAGAAGCCCATCCGCCCAGTGCGGGGGAGGGGCCGGAGAAGAGAGGAGTCCGGCCACAGCCATCCAGAGGAAGCCCGAGCCCCTTGTGATGCCCCGGGCGTGGGCCCCGTTTGCCTGGCCCTATGGCCGGCCCTGCTGGTCCCTCACATGGTTACACCTCCAGGCAGAGTTCCTCTGGGCGGTGTCCACTGACTCCTTAGACACCTTTGAAGAGTAGTAGGTCCTGTCTGGGGTTCTCTGTTCAGTGTCACCCTCTGGATCCCTGATCTTTAACTTTTACCATTCACTCCCATCCCTGGTTTTTTCATTTGTTGTCCTCAATATTCACTTGTGGCCTGGGTTTAATGGCTCCTCCCTCCTTGGTTGAGGGGGCAGCCTTTAGCACCATCCCCCAGTAACCACAAGTAGTACACACCTTCCAGAGCTGCCCAGGACTCCGTTATGAACAACAGATAGCTTTTACCTCCATCCAAGAAGTCTTCCCTGAGAGTACCCTGAGCTGCCAGTCTTTTACCAGGACCTCCTCAGGAACTGGAAACTAGTTTCAGTAACCAGGTCCATAGCAGCCACTGAGGGGAAATATTTCCTCACTGTAGCCCTGCTACACAACCCACACCTTCATGTGCATGTGGTAGAGTTCCCCTTTGTATGCTGGAGAATGGTGTCACCAGAGACTGAGACCTCATGGACTATGGTCAGAAGGACTGGGTGGACCCTGTGGTAACTGGCCAATGCAAGTATTGCTCACCCTATACATCCCCCATCATATGCTCTAGGAAGTGAGGGCAGCCTTGCCTCCTGCTTCTCTCACTTTTATTGAGCCTGTCCTGCCCCTGTCCCTCCGGATCATCGGGCCTCTGCCCCATGAGCCTCCCCAGCTTCCCCATATGTATCACCTGAGCAGAGTGAATGCCATCTAGCCAGCCCATCTCCAAATCGCACACTGTGAATATCTCTACATGCTAGTGCTCCATACCACCCACTTCCTCACCCTCATGGGACAGCCTATTCTCCATTATAGTCCCACAGCCTGCCAGAGATATCAGTTGGTGGTTCCTCCTCAGAGCTGTGAGCATGGTGGATGTGGTTTATGGAGTCTCCTAACACTTGCTCCTTTTGCAGTCAGAGGGAAACCTGCCGCACATCTGTGTAGCGTGTGTCAGGCTGCAGCCCGTCTTCTGACTCCGCCAAAACCACCTGCTGAGGTTCTGGCTGCACTTTTCCCTACCCTGCCTTGTTTTCGCATACCCCATCTGTGGCTCCATCGCAAGGCCACCTCATCAACCTCCTCCTGGCACTGACCAGGAAGGTCATCCACCAGATGATGAAGAGGAAGCTCAACAGAGGAGTGGCTCTTTGGCTCTGGGTCCTGTTTCCAATCCCTCTTTGCTTTACGTCTCCAGGCAGAGTTCCCCACTTTCCACTTGCTCCACATCCTAATCTCGCTGCTCGTCACTCACCCAGCCCTGACTCCTCTCCTCTCTGAAATCCAGTGGGGTGGCTTCCTCCTTTTCCTCCTCCTTGCTACCTGCTAGAAGGAGCACTGAGAGCACAGGTGAGACAATATTCCAGCTTTCAGTTCCTGTGGCATGTGCACAGTGGCCCTTGACTAGCAGGAGCTGCAATTGCACAAAGGGTATGTCTACACTGCAAGGAAACACCTGGAGCTGTCCCCTGTCAGCTAACTTGGTCTTGCGGGGCTCAGACTATGGGGCTGTTTAACTGTGGTGTAGACGTTGGGGCTCAGGCTGGAACCTGGGCTCTGCAACCCCGTGAGTGGGACAGAGTCCCTGAGCCCGGGCTCCAGCCCGAACCTCAACATCTACACAATTTTTAGCCCCACAGTTTGAGCCCCGTGAACCCGAGTCGGCTGACCTGAGCCACCCGTAGACATGCCGTGGGTCTTTTATTCCAGTGTAGACATACCCAGAAAGTCCTTCTAAGCCCCTGCAATCCCAGGCTTAAGCATGCTCTGTACAGATGGAATCTTCAGAGAATTTAGCTGCCAAACTCTAACAAAGTCTCTCCTGAACATGTGTGAACTGATATTCCCAGTGTTTCATAACTTGGCCAGACTTGGGTAGAATTTTATGGGGATGGCCAAAAGCACCCCTGATACCAGTGTAACCTTCCTATCAAATTTCAAATTCCTGCTCCAGGGCTACAGCTTCTCAATGAAATGGTTGTAAGAATTGTAAGAATTTTTTAACATGGACAAAACAACGTATTTTCCCTTAGCCTTGTTCTGAGAAACAGCTAAATGGTTTTCCCCCCGAAATTTACCAAAAAAATATAGGCACCTAGCATGGAAAATTTCAGCCCAAATGATTAAAGTTTGGAAAATGTATATGGAACTGAAAACATGGTCTTACAATAAAAAGTGTCAAGTAACCTTAACTAGGCATCACTACCTGAGCTTCCTATAATACCTTTTCTATAATGCAGTCTGAGCTATTGAGAAAACCTATTTTTTTAAATGAAGGTGAAATTTCTAGTAACATTTAATACTTTAAACTCATTGGCAAAAAATAAAAAAATTCAGACATCTTCTCACCATGGAAATGGGGCTCGAGCTTTTTTTTTCTTTTCAAGAAAAATTAGTAAAAAAAAAAGTATATTTTTTTGGGGAAGAAAAGAACATTTTCTAAGAAAAAAAATACTTATAACTGCAGAATCAGGATGGCTCAGAGAACAAAATTTGCCAAATTCTAAATTCACTTATGTTTGTGAAATCTCACTCAAATCAAAAGGCAGAATTTGACCAAGAGGACCAGACTATTAATGGTGTGAATCAGTGAATGATTCAAAATCTTTATCATAGTCATCATAATTTAGTCAGACTGAAGTTCTTAGTGAAACAAGTGCTGTGGTATCAGTTCAGTCTCTAATACACAATGGCTAGAATCACAAAATTACTGCACATAATCTAACACAACAGGCAATCTCTGCTTTGAAAAGATTTGCATAAAAATTAAGTTAGCTTTAATCTTCAGAGAGAATGGTCCCCTTCAGGTCACCACTGAGGTTACTGGTGGGGCAACGAGTCGCTGCAGCTGCCTCCACATTGAACCTACTTTGCAGAGCTACACTTTCCAATGTCACCAACATAATTCATTCTTATGATAAAAGGACACCAGTAAAAACAGTGTAACACGCTATGCTATAATTTAACAGGTAGTTTTGATTTTCATCCCACTAGTGTCTTAATATTTAGAAACAATGGTGCCAATCCTATACGGTGCTCAGAGCACTTCCAGTGAAGTCTTCGACAGAGGGAGAGTCAGATGCTAATAAGAGCTGATGGTACAAAGCACCTTGAAGGATTGGGACATTTACCGTGGAAAAAATATTCCCTGTGGGCACCTGCCCCCCACAGAATTTACATTTTGACCAAACAAAAATTAATTAGCGTACTAAACCAATTAAAATATAAACATGTAAGATGAATTAAAATATTTTCTTATGTTAACTGCCATGACGGCGAACACTGCTTACATCGCTCAGCTGCTTAGCGTGGGCTGGGGTGATAGTACTGGTTATCTGTTTATTCCCTGCCTTTAAAGCTGCATCTCTTCTTGCTTGCTCAAGAAGAACTCTTGCTCGTTCTTTAAGTTCTTCTTGTCTGGACAACATTCGTTGCTTAAAAATAAAGAAGTAGAATTAATGGCAAAGAAACCCCACCATATTCAACACTGATAGAGTAGTTAATAGCCAGGAGCCTGCCTAAATAATAAAAGTCAGGATTCAGAGGATTACAGCTTCATGAGGTGACATAAAATTCTACAGCAATGGAAAATAAAGATGATAAAAATGTAAAATTAAAAAAATAACCTCACAGGCCTTTATGATGTAAACAGAGTTTCACTGATTTTCTATCAACATTTAATACCTTAAAATTAGAGCTGTCGGGAAAAAAAATGAACGGGCTAGATGGAAACTATTTTACATCTACTATGTATTTAACTATTTAAAATATGTATGTAAATGTAATTCTTCCTTGGCTACTGACAGCTGGTATAATTCCGCTTCCGTCTCATAAAGGGGCCCATACGGAAGTTGCAAAAACAGCAAAAACATGTGCCTGGATTCTAGCTACAAACAGTCAGAAGAAAGTCTCTTATTTCCATTCGCACAACTGATTACCTCTCAGAGTAGAAATAACAGTACGAGGAGCTCCGTGTAGGCACAATGGATTGACTGGAACAGTTATAAGTGCATATGTGCATAACCCTGACTCTTTGACTCTGTCCAGTTATGTGACTCCTGAAATGAAGACCCTGGGGACATGGCCCTTCATATGTTTTTAGGCCCTGGAAAGAAGGCCTATATATGAGCTAGAGCTGGGGACATCATACTTTGGAGGATGTGTTCCTGCAACAGCCAGGTTTATGTGCTGTTTTTCTGGAAAAGGCTGTGGCTGGTACAGCTGAGGTTTTAAGTTTGATTAACTGGTACAAATACTCAAAAGGATTAACTACCCTAGAAGGCCCCCATAAGCCATCCCTTCATCCTTCTTAGCGTATTTCCCCCTTGCACTGAAAATGGTCAGTACAGAAGACACACAGCCTCTACCTGTCATGCTATTTTCTGTGGGCCAGATCACTCCCTCCCATTAAGAAACCAATTCATAGGGGAAGAGTTGCCAGAAAACTTCATGAGGTTCCACTGCTTTTGGGGTGGTGTTTGGGGCTCCTGCAGAGTTTACAGTAGAGTTGCAGCTGTGCCACTTCTCCCTTCTGCACAAGCAGGGAGAGAGCTGCACCTGGGTCTCAGAAGATGATCCTAGTCTAAATCATCTCCTTTAAAGAAAAGCTATTTACCTAACTTGTAAAAGAGAGTGAGCATGTAAAAAACCACAGTGCAATATTCTGTGTAAACTTAAGAAACATGCCTGTCTGTCCATCTAGCCAGCTCTTTTATGTCCACATCACTGTAGTAGTGTTCAATATAAGTACCAAATTTCTTAAAATAAAACGCATTCAGGTCACACTTGCTTGTGAAAGGAAAAAGGGGTCCTGAAAATGTAAAACACTGCTCCATCTGAACCAATGCACAATACGGCAGACTAGCCACACACATCTCTTTTCACAGCTAATGGAAACTAATCAAAAGAAAGCTAAAAACAAAGAAAATTGTCCTCAGGAAAAAAATTATGGGCCTGATTTGTCTCTCTTGCATACGAGGTTGATAACATTTTAGAAATATTTGTATGACTGATTTGATTTAGTAGGATACAGGGAAAGACATAAAAATAATGTCAGCGTTTATGTAATGCTTTATGTCTTCAAAATACTGTACAAATATCAGTCAATTAATCCTCACAATAACCTTGGGAGTTATGTATGTATTATCCCCATATTACAGATGTGAAAACAGACAGTGGTTAAATGACTTGCTCAAGGCTGCACAGAGCATCAGCAGCAGAACCAGAGTTAGAACTCACAAGTTCCTTGCTAACAGTTGTGGGTTCAGTTCACTAGGCCATGCTACTTCTCAGATAAGATTTAAAATATTCCTGGTATATTTTGAAGCATTCAAAAGTTTAGAAACTGTACACTGTTGTATATGAATCAATGAATGAATACCTTTTTTCATTTAATGCTTCAGCATGCAATATTCACAAAAAAGCTCGGGGGTTCCACAATCAATAGCAAAAACTCTTTTAGCTGGCTGAGAATACAATTTTATTTACTTTAATTGGAAAGGGAGAAAAGATTAACAGTAAGATAACTCCTATAAAAGGAGTTATGGATTTTTTTCCATGCAATAGCTCTTTTCAACATCACATACTCTTTCCAAGTATTCAGCTAGTAAGAATATCTGGTTTGTCAGACAATAAAAAAAACCAAAACTCCACCTAGCCTGTCAAAGACACAATGAATTATAAAGGCGATGCATAGAAATTAACTTGAACAGTAACCCCATTTTGTTTCAACTACACATTGTTTGTTTATGTATACATAAAGTTCAAATTTCTTACCTGTGCAGTTTTTGCAGTTTGATCTGCGTGATTTATAACCGTTCTGGTGTCAGTGTCAGAATCGGTCTCTATTGGCTTCAGAGAAGCATGTTTTTTCTTTGTAAGATCTGCATCCTTGTTATAAGAGTATCCAACTTTAGAAGCGGGAGATAAACTTGTTTTTTGGACAGGTGAGCCAGGATCTGATCTCCTGCTCTCTGTGGATCCTGTATGTCGCAGCTTTTCTTGCTCTGAGAAACTAATGGGACTGTGTGAACTCTGGTGTCTTTTCTTGTCAGCGTCTTCACAAACAACGGTTGGAGATTCATCCTTTTTTTGATCACTGCCATGTGGCAAGTCACTCAAGTCCAAAGTGTCGACTTTCAGCAGTTTCTTCCTTCCCAGCAAAGGCTGTGCCTGTTCTGTATCTGCACTGCCACATTTCCTGGCCTCTTCAGATCCAGAAGTCCCTCCAGAGCTCTGCTGGGATTTTTGTGGATCAGTGTCACTTCTAGTCCTGCGAGAAGAAGGGGCAGTTGTGCTTGGGCTTAAATGGTCATCAGGTGTCTGATGCTCACTTTCTGATTCTCCAACACCACTGTCATTTACAAATACAGAGTCATCCTGCGAAACGAAGTCTGCCAAACCACTTTCAGGCTGGTGCAGTTCAGGCTCTCGGTTCAGATCATTAAGCTCTGCATAGAACTTTTCCTGATCAACAGAACTGTTTGTGTCCGTTTCATAGTTACCTACTTTATACGTGCTTTTACTACTGTTCTCCTCTATCTGAACCACATTTAGTTCTTGGCCACTGAAATGTGCCCTTATTTGATAGAGATAAGTCATAACGGTCAGTTTGTCAGGAATTGCTAACAAAACCATGTCAGAAGGTTCCAGCAATCGGGATATTCCTATATTGGCAAACCCATCATATGCCTTAAAAATAAACAAAGCAAGGATTACAATACAGTAATTTCATCACATAGCATAACAACTCAAAAATGGCAATTGAAAGTTTCATTTGAAAAAACAAAACAGTTAAAAATATCAGATATTGCAGGAAAGTCTGTGGGCCTGATTCACCATTGTGATACTGTTGTTTTACTCTATGGGCTGCCACGGAGTAATATAGTTGTGAATTAGCTGTTTTGTATTTGCCACTGTATAAGCCAAGTTTTAATATATTGTCCATAAGTCTGTTATTGCACAACCTGTCAATTTTCTTGACAGATTCTACACAGCAGAATCTCCACAGGAACCTAACTCAAGAGAATAAAAACATGGCATTGCTTTTTAATATATTGTCATGCTATAGTAAAAACGACAGACATTACTCAGAATATAATAGACACATTCATGAACAAATGGATGTGTGTGAAAGTGGAACCTAAATTTTTTTTTTTCAGTTTTCATTAACAAAATCTATTGACATCTTAAATGGTTCTCACTCAAGAAGCAGGAAACAAGCAAATTAAAAAAAAGTGTAAGAGTTGGAACAAAAAAAACTAAGGATGGGTTTTTAAGATAAGGAACAAAGATATAAAGAAACACTACACTAATCCATCTTGGGCTTTATCATTGGTGATCAACCTTCTCCCTTCTACTGGCCATGTAATTGCAGTGATTTGTGTTGATGAAAAAGTACAGCCAGATAACCAAAATGAACTACACCCTAGATTACCTGATACAAGGTACAAGTCATATTGTTTAAGCACAGAAATGTATTTCTAAAATATCTACTTGACACTTAACTTATATAAAGAGGATAGTGAATTTATTTCTCACTTCATTTCTGTTTGAAAGCACTACAGAGCTTGGATACTACAACATATGTGAAACCACACTGTATTATTTCTGCTAGCCCTTTAAATGACTATGGTTGGTGCATCAGGTTTTTCTAGTTTTGAAGAATTAAAGCTGTTTCTCAATTTACAATTAATTATTACTCTCCTGGACTAACCCTGGAGGACAATATTGTGTTTCCAGGAAGCCTTTAAAAAGGCATCCTGTTGGTTATTTTAGATTCACTTGGGTTAAAGCATTAAAAATTCCACTAGTTTTGCCTCTATTCCCCTCCCCCCTTAAATAAAAAAGGATCATTTTTCTAGCGGGTTCTAAAGTTCTAAAAATCATAACTAAAATATTCTGAATAAAAGGAACATGTTAAAAGCTGATTTAAAAAATAACAGCAGCTTTTTAACATGATGATACGTTGAAACTTTATCTGCTGTTCCTAATGCTTTTTAGCTTATTGTATCCCGGATGGTTTGAGCTATGTCCTAGAAGTTCTAAATTTGATTTTCTTGTTCTTGCTGAGGAGAAGTGCCTTTTAGAAATGTTAGCTGGGGGGTGGAGGTTGTTGGTGATTATAAAAAGAGAGCTGAGTTTAGATGCAGAAAGAGCAATATTTAAAAATATAGATGAAATAGAAAACAGACGCATTCTCATTCCAGGTTGATCCAAGAGCCCAGGAAAGGGTCTGGTAGAGGACTGGAGGGAGATATTGGCGGGGGGAAGGAGAGAGAAGAATGTGGCTGGGAAGTAACACGGATTGGGTGTAGGGAAGTGGTTCTTAAAGCCTGTCCGCCACTTGTTCAGGGAAAGCCCCTGGCGGGCCGGGCCACTTTGTTTACCTGCCGCGTCCGCAGGTTCGGCCAATTGCAGCTCCCACTGGCCGCGGTTCGCTGCTCCAGGCCAATGGGGACTGCGGGAAGGGCGGCCCGCACATCCCTTGGCCAGCGCCGCTTCCCGCAGCCCCCATTGGCCTGGAGCGGCGAACCGCGGCCAGTGGGAGCCGCAATCGGCCAAACCTGTAGATGCGGCAGGTAAACAAACCGGCCCGGCCGGCCAGGGGCTTCCCCTGAACAAGTGGTGGACCGGCTTTGAGAACCACTGGTGTAGGGGTTAGGAGAGCACATGGAGGGTTGGCACAGAGGCATAGTACCTGGTCTTGGAATGCAGCTCTGGAAGAGAAGGAGGAGAGAGAACATGGAAGTTGGCAGGACGCTGGTAGGGACAGGGAGAAAAGAAATGAAGACCTCAGGAGTACAGGAATACAGAGGGAACATGGAATAGGAATTTGGGTGGGTGGTTTAAGTTGGGTAGAGTTAATTTCAAAGTTCACAAAACTAAACCTCAGGAAGCGTGTGAGTTTCGACTCTACAAAATGTATGTGTGGACTGTGTTTTAGAGCAGGTTGGGAAAGGTTCACACTTAATAATACTAAAGCAGAAAAATTTTACTTTGAACGGTGGATTTAAAAAACCAACAACATATTCTTGATGTATCTAGGATTATTAAGGATTATCTGTTAAATTTTGCTCTTTTTAGTGAAGTTTCTGATTACTGTTTGCCAGTGGTTCACACTCCCTTTCTTTCTCATTCTGGACAAAATGTGTACTTTTGCTCATTTGTTTTTCCATAATTATTGACAATGGATTCATGTCTCAATAACTAATTTCAAATCACACAGTTTCCACAAGCAAACACGTTTACAACAAAGAATTCTATTCTGTAAAGGCCAAAATGCAGCTACAGGACATTATGTTGCATAATGTTGAAAACAATGAATGGATTATATAATATAATGCTACAATTTATACTAGAAAAGTTAGATTTCTAAGAGACCTGATGCCCAGTGGAATGTAGTTACTACAAGTAGACATAATGTTGCCTTTTAAAAAAGGAAAAACATTAGAGGGGGAAAAATCAGAGATCAGAGGGGAAAAAACGTTGAATATAAATATGTAGGTTGGCATGTAGACTTTTGATTGCTGATAGTTCTATAAATAACAATTGCATGTTGTGGATATATTCACATACCAGTGTATTAAAATTTCTTTTTCTTCTTTTGTAGAAAATCCAGTAAAGTCTTGATTTTCAAGCAGATAGATTACAGTCAAAAATTATAGTGTATTACATGCTATTCAAATTGTATAATGTTATTCTTCTGTTTAAGCAAGTAGGCATACATACATTTTATTAAATATGCACATAACTAAGGCCTGAATCCTGCAAACACTTATCTACGTGCTTTACTTCACAGATGCAGGTAGTCCCATTGAAGTCAATCGGACATCTCATCTGTTTAAAATTAAGCATATGCGTAAGTGTTCATAGGATCTTGTGTAAATATATGAATTTGGATTCATGGAATAAAAATGTGGCAGTTACCATGAAGGCAGGAAGGAATTGTCCATTTTTTTTTTTTGAGTTTTTGCATAATTTGGGGGATTTTCTTTGATATTTTAAACTGTTGCCTTCCTTAAAACGTCACTTATTTTGATAAGGCAGTAATAATTTGAGTACAAATTAACTTGAGAAATTTAATATTAGTTAATCAATATAATGTAATAAATATTGGTTTACTATTTTCAATCAAAATATAGTGTTTATGTATCTTTACATTGCATTTCTTTATTAATAACTGTCAATCATAAATGTTTATTACTTTCACTTACAGTTATTTCTCTTTATAATATAACCTTTCCACATTAATTATACTTAAAGTAAGAGATACATTAATGCTCAACAAAATTGGAAATTAGTCCACAAAAATCTTTGTTAGGAAATGAAATTAAAAGTGTGTCTCAATCTAACATGAAACAATACATTACAATTTCCACAACATAAATTCTTCAACCTAATAAAACCCTCTCAAAAATATAACAATCGGGAAACTAACAGTTAAGTTGCAACCACTTCACTCAGGCCATACATTCCTACTTCACATACTCTCAACCCCATGGAAGTTGCATCCAAGCCTAGTTTAGTCCCCTTATCATTTGTGAAGTGAAGAATATGTTACTAGGCGATTGTAAAATGCCATTTCCTTATCAAGGCCTATATTTCCAATATAGTGTAACTTTAACATATAGTTTGTGTTTACTTATTAAAAACAAAACAAGATAGTACAAGTATTAGTTGGTCAACATTATAAGTAAAGGTCTACAAGTACTAAGGTAAATGTAAAACACCATGGACTAGATGGAACTATACCTTTTTATGCTAGTTGAGAAACTATTCTCATATAGTTTACATATTTCATAATCCCAAAGATAATCACATTTTCTCTTTTAGCAATAAAATCATCTTAATACTCAGACAACATAGTGCATTAACAGAAATCTCATGGAGCTCTGAAATATATTAATGCACCCTGAACTAAATAATTTATTTTTTGGAGACAGAAAAATTATTCTACAGAAATTATAATATATGTTCTGCACATTAGGCAACATTTGATACACTTGTAACCTTAACTATTTCTTAATTAAGTTTTTTTTTATTTATTGATATATCCTGACAAGTTGATTGATGGACACCAATTGCAATCCCTCAACACAAGCACCACAGGCAGTATTCTAAACATTTCCCAATTATGTAACACACTGACATATTGGTCAAGATCAGATGTCACAGGTAAATACCTTTTTTACTCAGCACTGCTTACTGATTAAGAAAATAATTAGCTTGGTTTATATAGGAACTCTGATGTTATGCTTTTTGTAACACTACATTTCAATATATAATTATACACAGCAATTACACTAAAATAGTTACCTCTTCATGAGAAAACAAACAAACCATAAACAAGGTCAAACACTTCTAAAAGGAATATTCCTCTAGGTTAACCTTTACATCTATGGTCAGTAACCTTTTACCTCTTTCCCTGCCAATTTACAGCATGGGAGAGGGAAAAAAGAGATGCTTCAGACAAGAAAATTGTCTTATTAATTCATAGATGTTATTTTAATTGGTTAGGAGGAGTCATTGTCAAATGTGTTACACATCTGCATGGAATTTATACACAGCCATTGTTCCCAGAGCTGCATTCATTCCAATGAAGGGCACACAGGGTTATCAGGCAGAACTGTGTGAGACCAGGAAATAAATCTGCAGGAAGCAACTGAGATACTCAATGTAGCTGTCAGGCAAAGGGTTGCAAAGTGATGAAAGAAAAAACTGCACAACAACAACAACAATTATTTCTTTAGCAATGGGAATTATATACTATTAGGGAGATTGGCTAAAAGGTTTTGATTATAGCTCATCATTTGCCATCACAGTTGTATAAATAAAAGGATGATATAATTGATTTCACATTAACAGAGCATTTTTAAAATAGAACATCTATTCAATCTACGTTTTATAATACTACTTGACTAGCCCTTACAATCACGGGAGCTTGAAGTTTAAAATCACATGGTCATAGAAAGCTCTGTGATGTCACAGATAATCCTCTTAGATCATCACAAGACCCCACATATTATTATGAAAAAGATGTCAAAGCATGCACTGTCCCTGTCCAAAATCACAAGGGTAGATGGCAACAGATCAGAAATGCCTCATAATTTATTACACTTTAGCATTATTTTAATGATTACCTGCTTTTGGGCAACGCGTTAGTGTTCAGAATGCATAAAAATATCACTGCCATTTGCAATTTTAACCAAGCAGAATGCAAATGTATATGCAGTCCAACATTCTTCAAAGATATTTCCAGTGCAAAAGCGTCATATACTATAGTTTAGTAAAAAGATATTTTATTTTGCTATACATTTGATTTTTTTCACATTTCTTATAGTGAATATTTTTTTAAAAGAGTTTAAAAATATAAGATCGTAGTATCCAGAAGACAAGCTAAGAATAAAGCAATTTTGCACTGATTTTCAGTTATAATTTTATTATAAGTGAATCAAGTGGAAAATGAGCATTTTAAAATGTATCCCTCTCAGGCCAAGCCCATGCATCTGATGAAAATTAAAGTGTGTAACTAGTCTAAGACACTAGCAGCAAGCAGCAATAGAATGTTTTCTTGTAACTCCTAAACTCAGTTATGCTTAGAACTTAGATCACTGAAGTTGTTTCAGAACATCCCTTTATAATCTTTATATCAAAAGGGCATTAGATTACCTAATGTAAAAGTGGATTAAAATCCTTGGCCCAGTACACTACCAAATAATATTTCATTAATATTTTAGTCTTTTTTTAAAAAAGTCATGTTTGAGAATATTTTTTCCCTTAAATATGATGTGTAATATAAAAAAATACAGCACACGGTACCGCCTAGTTTTATTGACAATGCTGGATAAAAGTGTGGGGGGACTTCAATTTTTAAAAATATAAAAACTAGTAAAACAGCACTGATTATGACCAACTCAATGATCTCTTTTAAGGTAATGGACAAGTCTGGAAGCAAATAATTCTAGAACAATAATATTTTCTATTTCTTTTTTAATTAAACGGCTGATTAGAAAAATAGAAATGATCACAAAAACTCTCTCTCCTCTCTCTCTGATTACATTAATGTAGGCCATACAAATATTAAACTCTAATACCAGCCTGGCACTTGTTGTGAATGTTAAAGACTATGACAAACTAGAGTCAATAATGCATCCGATTTGAACCACAGGAGGCTGAATACCTTCTGTGAGCTGCAGTTATGACCTTACAAAACAACCTCTCTTTCCCAAAATTAATAAAAACCTGCAGTGAAGGCAAAATTGAAGCTATGTGGGTTTTTTTTCCAGGCAGTTCTTACCTTTTTGTTGTTCTCTTTAATATCTTGAGGATTCAGGGACTTGTAGTCACTGAGGAGGAAAATGGCACAGTGGGTATGTACAGTATTTGATAAAAGCAGCAGTTTTAAAACAAACTGAATCTAAAAATTTGACATACAATAATATCCTATAGTAACTAGCAATTTCACAGCAATTCAATCAACAAAACTAATAGCGTGGAAAATTAAATAAATAAATAAATAAATAAATAAACCCCAGCGATTTCATGTTTCATTGCCTGAAGCCTTCCATCTAAAAGAGAAGTTATGGCAGGGGCTAGAGGCCGGCCTTGACAACCAAATTTACCATGAGGTAATCCGTCGTCGTCAATGTACAAAGAGCTACAGGCTTATTTGTCTCATCTCATTTCAACACTAACACAATTTTCATAATCATCCTGAAGTCAGTTTTTTATATAAGATTAAGAAGAAGAAAAACGTATCATATGAAGGAGAGAAAGGATTGTTTTTGGCGGGGAACAAGGGAGGTCATAAAGTTTTGGCCATTTGTAAATGACTTTTCCAACAAAGAATGGTGCCCTGTAGAAGGAAATTATGAAATAGACAAACATTTCAAGACCTAATAGTGAACAGTGGTTTTACTCTTCTGTACATTTAATTGTAGCACATATATAAAATTTAAGTGTGATGGTATAAATGTTATGACTTACATTAAATCTGGCCTAAAGTGGTGTAATATTGCACAGAAAGATAAACCATTTCTCCATGATGTAGTAAAATTGGTGATTTTCACTCCCCTATAGTTTTTTGTAACTTCTTTGCACCATACAAGCAGTGACTGACTAGCATTTGGCTTTCTCCCCAAAACAGGACTTGGTACTGGGCTTGGCTGGAAAAAAAGAAAAGAGAAAAACATAAAAGAATTTAATGGAAGATGAGAATTAACATTAATTGACCTAACTAGATGATCTGCATCCTTTGATGTCAGTTTAGGTCCTTCAAAGCTGTCAGTTTATAATGACTGTAACTTGCAAAAGACACAAATCGTCAGTTATTATCTTCAGTCTTAGCCCTTGGCACTTGCCTCTAAAGGATGTAGATATACAAAATTCTAAACTTATATATGAAATCAGGCCAAGAATTGTACCAATGGAAACACCATGTTCAAGTGCTTAAATACTTAAGGCATACTATTGCACAGTCTGTGTTATGTTATGCACCCTTAAAAAGATTTTCCAAAATGCAGTCATGTAAAAGCATCCCCACAAGCCCTTTCACTTTTAATGAAGACAACATTCTGACTGGATCAAAAGCAAAGCATATCAGGGTCAAAGTTTACCACAATTTGTGATCTACTATTGCAGCACAAAGATCAAAGTCCCCGTGTGTGACATACACTTAATACATTAATCTTGTATACATTCAAGTGTAAAGTTTGCAGCTGTATGTCTCATGTTCAAATATTTTGTTATATAAAATATAATGATAGGAAGATATTTTAGTGTCATTTATGAAATATCACAGCAAAATGACTTTATTACAGCAATTTTCATTTGTTCTCCTATTTCCCTCTGTTTATTTGGAAAAAAGATTCAGAACACAAATGCTGAAGCTGGATTAGCTCGGATTTAAGACAAACAATATTAACTAATACTGTTTCTTTTCCAGAGAAATAGTTACAAGGAAACAACATCTGGGATTCAATAGAGAATTTTATTTCAAGTATTTTGATCTTATCAAAATGTCCTTAAGTTTCTTGAATTTAAAAAAGTAATTACTAATTCTAGTTGATGTTTTCAAGAAAAATACATTTCCTCATCAAAAAGACTTCTCAGTTTAAAATCTTCTTGCGTATAATGAAAGGAGTTAAATGAAGTTAACAGGCATAAACCCAAAACTCCAGGACACTACTGAGAAAAACAGTTGAGCACATTTAAAAAAAAAATAGTGTAATTAAAAAATTATACATATACCAAACATGCTATTTGCTCAGCTTAAGGCTCTGGGCCCTCCAAATTAAAGTAAAAAGGGAGCAAGTCATTCACTATATCACAGCCACTTAAGTTTAACAAGTAAATCCTCTGTCTGTGCTGCCTGTTTGTGAAAGACCAATGATGCCCCCACTTGACTAAAGCATGTCAGTGCTAAACAATTCAAACTGTCAACCTCACACAATCTGATTTATGTTTTTACTAATTGTGGGGAAGGTAACCTACAGTACCTGTAATAGAAATTCCATGCAGGTAATTTATCATTTTTATTACTTGTTAGACTAATAAATTGTTATATAAACAAACCTACCTCAGCATCGTATTATTTATATTATTATAGCGCACTATAGTTGCACTGCTAATTCAGAGTGCACAAAATCTATATTTTACTTCAATTTTGTTTTAATGTTCAAATGTCTGCATAGAATAATTGTTCACAAAGGGTTTTTCAATTCAGCTAACGGTTTAAATCAGGGTGAACTAACTGGAGCTCTTACATCAAACATTCTCTAGGTTAAATGCATTAACATCTCAACAAAGGCTTACAAAATGAGAGAGAAAAAGAGGTAATATCTGACATAATTTCTTAAACTTTATAAATATCAACACCATGGGCCAGATTCTGATCAGATGGATATCACTGTCTAGAGTCTTCAGTGGAATTACTCCAGGGTCACTCTGATGTAACTGAGATCAGATTCTGGGTTTAGGTCTCTCTCAAATATAGATTATAATTTATCACTTTGTTTTCTTCATCATAGAGTCCCAAGCTTTTGGCATTTGAGTATGAAAAAATGTGTTTGAGGTCTAAATAGTTATACACCTAAGTAATGTGGATGATAAAATTATGGTAATAACACTGTTATAATGATACACTGTATTTTAGCATTTTAAAACTCAGAAATACCTCTACCAAACCATACAATATTGACTTGCAGATAAGATATTAGAAACTATTTATTATTGGATTGAACTATAAGGCCTTAATATTACATAGGTAAATTTCACAGACCTGATGACACTAATATGATTTTAACGTGGATAGTGATAGACAGCATTCAGCACTGTACACTTGTTGCTAAAACTCTCCACACTATAAAATGTTAAATATTCCAGTCAACATCTAGAATCTTTTTGGTCAAATGACCTGAAGCAACACTGCCTTTTAAGTGCCTTAATTACAGATATTTAACATACATTGAATAATTAACTCATTTGATAACTATATTGTATTAAAATAGTTAGAGATGACTACGCCTTTAAATCATATTCCTGTGGCCAAATCCAACATTTCAGCATATTCTTTACAAATTAATGTACTGTTATCAGATTTAAAATTTGAAATGATACATTGCTAGGAAAACTTTCATTAAATTGGAATCACTTGGGGTGGGAGGATTTTGAACTTAAATTTATGTTCTCGTTTCTAAAATGATTTCCCACCCCAGAATGCATAAGATACTAGCATTGTATGCTGTAATCACAGAGATTATTAGATGGAAACAAGATGAAGAAGAAATTCTATGCCATTCTTTTCTCTTATCCAGATTTAGCACCTTAAAATATTTTGGAGGAGGGTGAAGTGAATCCTGTGATGTATATATGTCTCTCTCACACAACTCTCATCAGAGCTTTCGGTACTTAGTCGGTGATAAAGGCATTGAAATCAGTATATATTGGGGAAAATATGAGCAGTAACAGAGTGATGAGCATACACTATGAAATTACCTGGGAGAGGGGGGCAAGCTCATTTTAATTGTTTAAAACTCTGTCATGAAAAACATTTCCTTTAAATAAATAAATGCAATATCAGTAACAGTGGCACATCTCTGGAATGTACATTGTTCTACAAGATTAACGGGAACACTACTGGTGGAGAAAACGAATACATAATGAGCTTTTTCCTGTTTAACTATACACTCCAACAAGCACTCACACACAATTAGTTCAAGTTCAAAACTCAAGCTCACTGTGCTTATTTTGGAAATACCTGTAAAAAAGCACACACAGCCAAAACAGGTTGCTAGATTTGGTCATTCATCTGCAGCTTGTTGAATCTAATAAATATTTTGAGCTACAGCAGCAAAATCTTCAAATGTTGCTTTCTCTGATAGAGGACTGAGCAACAGTTTAATATTAGGTGGTGTCTTAACATTCCAAGGTATCAGAATAATCATTTTGGCCCAGAACCACAAAGGGACTTGGGCATTGCAGCGCTGAGCATCACAATGGCTAAGGTTTAGGCACCTTGAAAATCACCAGAATCCACAAACCCTTTGTTAGGTATCTAGCATCCCACTACAATGCATGGAGAGGAAACAGACGCTTGAGAATGGGACACAAAAAAGCCAGCACGTGAGGCAGGGAACGGCCTAAGATAGCCAACTGGAGATGCTGACAAGAGGTATGTCTCTCAAGCCCCGCCCCCTCCTGGAGCTAGGTGCTTAAGTAAGGGCTGGTCTACACTAGGGGAGGGGGATCGATCTAAGATACGCAACTTCAGCTACACTATTCGCGTAGCTGAAGTCGAAGTATCTTAGTTCGACTTACCTGGCCGTTCTCACGGCGGCAAGTCAACCGCCGCGGCTCCCCCGTCGACTCCGCTTACTCCTCCTACCGAGGTGGAGTACGGGCGTCGATTCGGGTATCAATTTATCGCGTCTAGATGAGACACAATAAATCGATCCCCGATAGATCCATTATTACCCGCCGATCCGGCGGGTAGTGTAGATGTGGCCTAAGTCCAGGCTGTTCTGTTTACTATCCACAGCTGGGAACCGCTCTCTGGGAGGGGAGGTGCCTTAGGTGCCCCTAATTCATTTCTGGTAAGAACGATGGTGGCACACATCTAACTCCACACAAAACAGCCAGTGGAAGGAGGTGGAGGCAGCCCAGTAATTTGGGTACTTATGCAGAATGTAGGAGACCCTGGTTCAATTCCCCACCTCTGCCTGGTGACAAGAAGAGATTTGAGTGTGGGTTTCCCACCTCTCAGGTGAGTGCCCTAATCCGTTGGACTCTTTCTCTGGCCCAATTACTATTTAATAAAAAGTGGAACAGCTTCAACACAAGTGTTTGAGAGAAATCCACATGAGAATATTCCATAGTTCAGTGGTTAGGGGTGTATCCAAACCAATGGGCTGAAGGCTGCAAAGGAAGCCTCTACCCCTTCCCCCAATTTTGTGTGAAGTGAAGTGTGCTCATAGAACACCAGCTACCAGGCCCTGAAGGCAAGGCAGGCTGGGGAACACCCATCTCCACCTGGTTTGAGGATCATGCTGAGTCTTAGGCATGAGACAGGAATCTGAGCACCTGCCTGAGGCAGCAATATGCATTCCCCCAGAGGTAGAAACTTAACTACCTAAGGAATTTTTACAGCAAAAATGTAGTTGCCAAGTGAGTTTAGGTACCTACAGAGTAAGGCAGCAGCCAACTGGGGGTACTGTGGAGTGCAGTGGCGCTTAAATCTGGGACTTAGGCACCTAACTCTGGTATTTAGATGCCTAAGACCCTTTGTGGATGTTGTCCTTTGCGCTAAGGAATGTGTCATAGGGTGAGCTGGCCCTTTAAGGGGGTTGGGACTTAGCCACACCTGTGCCAGGCTTAGCCTACCTTCCCAGGTGAAGGGAGTAAATCTGGGGATGGAAGGACGTGACTCAGAACCAGGTCTACTGGGAGATATAAAGGACAGCCTGGTGACAGTGAGGAAGACTCCAGTGAGAGCAGAGCTGGAAGTGAGTGTGCTATTAAAGAATGGGAAGAACAGACAGAAAAGGTCAATGAGGAGCCCTAGGCTGAGTAACTCTCCAGAGCTCTTATGCAGAAGGCCTGGGAAAGGAGCCTGCAGGGAGCTTCTGTAATCAGGGTGGTGGCCAGGAAACATGAAGGATTTTACACT